AACAACTCTGAAGAAATACCTGGCTGTGCCCTGTTGCTTCATCTGGGCCACAGCAGTCCCAAATAAGTTGGCATTGTATCCAGGATTCATAAACTATTTATCACCAACTTCTTCTCTGCTAGGCTGCTGTTCTTTGAGCTGAGACATCAGGTCTTGAATAAAATCTCCAATTCCAGGGGGCATAGCCAGCTCTCGGCCTGATCAGTCGCATGCTTACTGCTCGATCAAAGCCCTAAACAGCCTAAAATTGCCACAAGGCAACCTACCACACTGCAGACAGCCTGGAAACATCCCTACACCGATGGGAAGAAAAACTAAAAAGCCATGCATGGATCGGCATCGGTACTCAGAGGATATAGACAACTTATTGTGGAGGCCACATGGCGCGATGGGGCCTATCATGGCTCAGACAACATCCCCCTTCACAGCCCTGAGAGTCTGGGATATAAAGGGCCTCCTAAGCCCACGCAGCCAACAGCGCGTCTCCCGGTCACCACAGAGATACTTACCACTCTCCTTTGCCTGACCTACGCCAGACACTTTCTTTGCGGAGATCTCCCAGGTCCCCAAATCTCTCATGGCCATGGAGCAGGAGGTTGAAGCGCATTAAAATTCAAGGCCTCTGTGATGGTGTCCCCCAGCCAAGCTGCCCCATTTTCTTCGAAGGCTCTTTGCGGCCCTCCAACCCCATAAGCAAGCTAAAGGGATGCAGCTGGACAGTGTGTTCCATCTGCCCGAGCCACCACAACTCACAGGCTCTGCAACAGAGGTCAAATTTCAAAATGGGCAAGACAAAACTGCCTTCATGAGTGCCATCAAGGGGATAAAAACCCTACCGCTTTGAAGACACGGACCTACGATTCTTCTCTGACCTATCCCGCATTACAGTATAATGGCAAAAGTCCCTTTGACCGCTAACATCGGCACTAGCAGCCAAAGGGGTGATGTACTGTTGGGGACCATCGCACGTACTCCTCATACAGCATCAGGGCACCGAATATAGAGTGGCGGACATCACGGAGATGGACACTGTCCTGGCGGCTATGGGCCCCATAACCCTTTCAACCACTACAGCCTGGGACCCAGCCAACATCATCCCGTTTATTCTCGCTTCTAGTGGCACATCTGGGATGAAGACACCTTGAACCAATGACTTTTGTTTTTCATGTTTTTCTTTTTCTCATACTTATCTATGTTTGGTTTTACTCCCATTTTAGCTTACACTGACCTATATTAATGTACAGTTCCAGGTCTCCTGCATGCCCACAGCAGGACCGTTACCCTGCGGTCACCCTCCGCTGAAACCGGGCATAACCCGGATATGCTGGCTCCACTTTATCACCTAACCCCCCAGCTCCTATCCGACCATTTCACAATTTGTTTATTGTCAGGGAGCTGTCTATACACCGCATTAGGTACCACATCAGTACCCTCTGTTCACTTTTGTGTTAAGTCCCTGCCTACTATATTGCCTCACGGGTCCCCACATCATGGCCTATAAATGTTGTTTCCTTTTACCTACCTACCTATATCGGCCTTATCCCTTAGGGGGCATGGTTCTCACTTGATATCACTATACGTGATATGCAAACGCACATCATACCTCCATCTGAACACTCACTCTAGTTCTAATGTACTTATGCCAATGCTAGTCTTACGGTCAGTGCGGAAGTAACTCTCTTCATACTTTAACACTCTGTTATTTTAATCTGCAAAATTGTGCCATCACCATATATCCCATGCTGATGTTTTACTCTATTACCATTGGGCTTGTTATACCTGTCGTGGCTATCCAAGCATGTTGTTAATGCTCGCACAACAAAAATAAAGAATTAAAAAAAAAAAATAATTCCAATCCAATATTTTTTTTATTGCAAAAGTCAATGGAGGATATTTATCAAAGCTTTCTCATAGATTGGAAGCTTGTTTAAGCAGGGCCTTCTTCAGCCTTTGTCTCTGTTAATTTTTTAATGTTAATTAAATTGTAGAGTGCTGCAGAATATAATGGCCCTAGATAAATGCTAAAAATGACAATAATTCTGTAAAGTAGTATTTAAATTCAGTCATTATTTTAATCATATTTACAAAATTGTGCTATCACCATATATCCCATGCTGATGTTTTACTCTATTACCATTGGGCTTGTTATACCTGTCGTGGCTATCCAAGCATGTTGTTAATGCTCGCACAACAAAAATAAAGAATTGAAAAAAAATCTTTTAGTCATATTTATTACAGTGATATAAGAGCAAAGGTTTTCTTCATAGCAAATATCTTCTTGTATCTGGTGTCCCCAGATGCAGGGCACCAGGGAGATGAAGCCTGATAGCAGGACTCCAAAATTGTGCCTGTCCCACCAAAAGTGGGACTGTCAGAAGGCATGGAAAATCTAAATGATACAGTAAAAGTACAGATGAACAAAAACATTGAAAGTGTGAACATATCACCTAATACAGGTAAGAACATTTTCCATTTCAATGCCTGCTATCTCCAGCCGACCTGGTTGGCACTCAGTCCTGGGAGCTCCTCAGTCCTTTCAAGGACTTTCCCCGCTGCATCTTCCACCAGCTGCGACAAGCAGCCCCCTAAACCAAGCAACAGTCAATCCGTAAAAAGGGCGCAAACCAAATCGCACCAAATCGTTCAGGGAGGAGAGGGGTTTCGCTGCCCAATCAGGAGGAAGGGCGCAAAACTCCTGTGCACCAATCGGCGCTCAGGGAGGAGAGGGGTTTCACCGCGCAATCAGGAGAAAGGACACACAACCTCGTTTGAATGGGTGCTCCTTCTCTGATTGGTCGCCAGCACCCCTCAGCAACCACGAGTTGGCGGCCATCTTGTTCGCATAAACACAGGCAGCAGTGTTTGGGCACGAATCTCATGGACACAGAAACACCCGAACACCACTGGACTTCACTCATCACCTGCGTTTGTTTTCTATACAACTTAGAAGGGCACTGTTCGATGAAGGGGATGAGGGGAACACACTCCAGGGTAAGAATATTGACTCTGTTCGGTAGTTTGTTCATTTTCAAACCAACGAACTAGACCGATTGCAAGACCTGATTCTCTGGAACCGTTTTGCACATGGGACCATGCCTGAACCCCTGAACTGATCTGGGTGATTTTCGGATGTGTTGGTCACCCAGATCGGGGCTACCAGGGGATGTAACATTTGTGAGGATTTTATGTGTTTTGGGGGTACTTCAGGGGTTTTATGGAAATATATGTTTTTTCTGTCTGGAGATAATTGAGTTAATACAGTATCTGACTCAATTATCTCCCAGGCAGAGGGGAGAGATTGTATTCTGTGTGTTTCGGAGTGTCATGGTTGTAACCTTATTGTTATTGGTCTGTGACGTTGTAAATCAGTCTACCATCAGGTCCATGTGGGCGTACCCTTTGCATGGGGATTGTCTTATAAGGCCAAGTGTCGCTCCCATTAAAGTGAGATTTGTTTACCCCTTCATGAAGTCTTGGCTCATATTTGGGAGATTGGAGAACTATATTCACTCTGGGTTTTGCTATATCACAATACTCCCCTGACAATAATCACTAGCTCTTATAAGAGTTGTTCCAGCTACGCTCTCTGGACTAGGAGAGGTCTACCCACTGGATCTACCCACTGGATCCCACTGGATCCTAGTCTTGGATCTAGGGTGGGTGGAGGACAGCGAGACCTCAACCAAGCTGCAGCGGTTCATGGAGTTTACGATGGTTATGGCATTCCAGTACAGTGCTTATGGTGCTCGCAAGTACTAGAAAGCAGTGATTGACGGAGGTACCTGGTCAGGGTGCCAGGCAGTCCATCACACAGGAGATATGTGGTAACATCCAGTCCACTAGGTTCTTCCGGATCGTGGTCAGCAGGGGCGTGATTTTTGTTGAATTCAGCTGGGAGAGATCTCTCGGGATCCAGACACCCAGATACCTCACGGCCTTCTCCGTGTCTGGGTTTCTTTGCTGTTTTAAACAACCACCCTTCCTTTTTCAGTGTCTGAGGTTTCAGCTGTAATTAACGATCAGCTCCTTAAGCATGTTGCCACGGTTACTTACCTGAGAATAGTAATCAACCCTGCTGCTAATCAGTTCAGCCTATTTAAGCAGCAAATCCCAGAACCTCGTTGCCCTTGCGTGGTTTCCTGTTCCCCAGAAGTCTCCTTGTTCCTGTGTTTCCTGTTTGCTCCTGGTTCCTGACTCTGGCCTTGTTCCTGACTCCGCTGCTCTCCATTCTCCTGATCCTGGCTCGTCTGACTACCCACTCTGGTGACTGACCCCTGCTTGCCTCCTGGACTTTGCTTTTGGTTATTTCTTTGTTATTCATTAAATAAAGGTGTTTTTGCATCTAGATCTGTCTCTGTCTGGTTCCTGACACTCCGACCATTGAAATTGGAAGTTTTTGCCCATTCCTGCAGGGCTGTCATCTTGGCTTGCATGTGTGGACACAGCCCAAAAGCCTGTAATGTGTGAAAGAGGAAGTCCAAGCCCACCCTGTCAAAGGCCTCCTTTGCACCCGTGGATATCAAGAGAAGGCTCTCATTGTTTATATGAGTCTGGTGTATCAGGCAGATGACTCGTGTGGTGTTGTCTCTCGCTTCCCAATGGGGGATAAGCCCACCTGATCAGACTTCATGAGGTTGGGTAAGTATGGGTTCATTCTAGTAGCCAGGATCTTCACGAATAATTTTAAATCACAAATAAATAACGAGATGGGTCTTTAGCTGGCACCCAGCTCCAGATCCTTGCCCTCTTTAGGG